ACTTAGTACACATCATATGGTCTTTATCGCTCTCAACAATCTCGACAGACGTGAAACATCCTTTCCCTCAAGAGAATCCTACTAGCCACACCAGTTCTTCGTCATGTCATTGACGTCAATAGCCTGTCCTCAACCTACCGGTTTTTCTTGACTACCGCACTTCCTAGTGCTATTGACCTCAAGTTTCCTGTACTCACTGGCCGTTCCCCCTCTCCCTTAGTCACATACCATATTGGCCTTAATCGCCCTCCTCTGCTCCCATTGGTCCGTTCTCCCTAACAACCCCCCCTGCCTACTTCGTATATAAGCAGCACCTTCCACATCCTATCACCACAGGTACTGCTCTCCGCTGCTATTCAACTGCTCTGAAGATTGAGGCGCTACGTTCCTCCGAAACGTCGGCCAAAACGAAGAATACACGGTGCCTAAACCCAGAAGACAACTTTCTTCAGCCCCCACGTTGTTTGTGGTGCAGGGGTGGCCACTTACACAAGGAGTGCCCAGAAAAGGAGAACTCTGCCTCCACCCCAGTATGCTGCAACTGCCGATTGGCGGAGGGAGAAAAGCCACATCCCGCCAATTATCGGGGTTGCAAACATGCCAAAGAAGAGAAACAGAGAAGGAAGGTTCAGAGAACGTCCAAAACTACGGGAAGGGTGTTCTCTTCAACCACCGTTACTCCAGGTGTCTCCTTCGCGGCGGCACTTCGAAACAGGACCCCAGAGCAGCATCAGCGCCCTCAGGAAAGCCATGTTCCGGTGGCTCCAGCCACAAGAAAGAAGCAGATTGTACCGGCCCCTGCACTGCAGAAAGAAACAGGTCAGTCAGTTCAGGCTACTAATGTAAACGGTCAGTCTCGCGACAATATGTTGAGAGTAGTGACTGTAGTACAGCAGATTATGACAGAGGTCAGTGGTGCAGTGTCCGAAGAGGACAAAATAATGACCATTACCAAAATTGTTCTAAACCTTATAAAACAGAATGGCCACTAGAGTTCATAGGTCCCTCAAAGTCATAACATTAATGCGAACGGCATTGGCAGGCAGCGCTATGAGCTCAGTAAACAGCTGCAAGACCTACACATAGATGTGGCCGTTTTCAGAGACACATCTGAAACCTCATGAGAGGTTCTTTATTCCAAATTACCACTTTTATAAGAATCGACCGCCACTCGGGCAGAAAGGGCGGAACAGCCGTTGCAGTAAGAAATGGCATTCCCCATAACCATGCAGACCTACCACCCCTTGTTTCAGTAGAAGCGACAGGGGTCTGCATACCAATTGGTAATAGCGAAGTGCTGCTTGCAACTGTTTATAAATCTCCAGGCAAAGCCTGGAGTGATGCTGACATCACTGAGCTCTTATGCTTCAGACGAAAATCTATTTTGGCGGGTGACTTGAATGCTAAGAACCAATTTTGGAATAGGAGAGTTTCAAACCCTTCAGGTTTGAAACTCATGGATTTGATATGGGCGATTTCGAAATCTCAGCACCACAGCGGGAAATGGTGACGTGTTAGACATTATTATTCACAAAAATATCAGAGTGTCAGAGGTCATCGTCTCTGATATTTTGGATTCAGATCACCTACCAATAGTATTCCACATACTGGTTCACGTTAAAATTAGGAATCTTTCGGAACCCATTGAAAAATTTATAGATTGGGAAAGGTTTCTGAATTAATATCACCTAAACTAGAAATTAATTCGGGGGTAGAAGCCGATAAAGCGACACGCGACTTTTCAGCATCTATTGCTTCGGCACATAGGCTGTCGACAAGTAAAGTTACACTTTCGGACATAAGCTACGATCTTCCTGGTCTAGATCGTTTGAAAAAATATAAACAGAGGCTACGAAAACTGTGGCAAGAAACCAGGGATCCAGCGTGTAAAACGGCAGTCAATTGGGTCACCAAATCAATCAGGCGAATGACCCGTAAAAAGGTACTTGAACGGTGGGAAACAAAAATAAGCAACGCTGAAGTCACACCTCAGTGTATATGGCCCATTGCGAAATCTCTCCTTAAGAGAGACGGACCAAGGGCACCAACTGCTAT